CACGCCTCGTGTGCACGCCATGGCTGCTCACACACAAAGCACACCTCGTGTGCACGCCATGGCTGCTCACGCACAAAGCACACCTCGTGTGCACGCCATGGCTGCTCACGCACAAAGCACACCTCATGTGCATGTGTGATTGCTGCTCACGCACAAAGCACACCTCGTGTGTGTGCACACGCCATTACTGCTCACACACAAAGCACACCTTGCGTGCGCGCGTACGCCATGGCTGCTCACGCACAAAGCACACCTCGCGTGTGTGCGTGCGCCATTGCTGCTCACGCAGAAAGCGCCCAGAGGAGCACGTCCTCGAGGACATCCCCTGTACTTGCTGCTTGTGCTCCCTGGGAGCGTTTCACCGACTGCCTCTTCCTCAGGCTGCTTTTTTTCTGAAAAAGAGCACGCCCTGGTCTGCCCCCATCGCTGCTCCCAGAAAACGAAGAGCGCCCATGCTTCCCTCCTTCCTGGACCACTGCGCAGCGCGGCCCCCTCCCACGAGCCTTGCTAGGCTGCCAGCTGCACCGCCGCCCCTGGGGGGAGGTGATGGAGTGACAGATCCTGGAAACGACTTCCACCTTGCCCCGCGAAGGACAAGGTGATGGGGAGTATTCAGCAGGGATCTACCATGAGGCAATTCTGCCCTACACCGTACCACACACGAGGCAGGAAGGTCAGCTCGCTCCCATCGAACAGGCTCCCAGGGCCCAGCACAGGGCGTCCCCTGCCGAGCTCCAGCTGGGCACTCATCCCCACAGAGAAGCACACCTCGAGCCTCGCTAAGCCCTGAAGTACCATTGATTTTCTTCCAGTTTCCCAGAATTTCTGCCAGCGGCAAACCCTGTTTCACCTTACCTACTGAACCCCCCATGACCTGTGCTGCGCCCCGGGAATTCCCAGGGAATGGGGATGCCGCAAGCACAATCGGGTGAACTCACCCGGTACTGGCTGTGTCATATGCTGTCGCCACGCTCAACAGGTTGGGAAGTCGCAGAGTCCCACCTGGGTGGTCAAATTGTTACCAAAATGGATTTGCTTGTGTTTTTCTTTTCTTTTCTTCCAGTTTGTGTGTGGGTAGAGGAAAGAAGGCAGGAAAAGTAGGCACGAGCTGAACCCCCTTTTTTATTGCCAGCAATAAAGGTGGCTCCCCATGTTACAGCTCTTTGTTCCTTATAAGCAATCTTAAGACTATTCACGTACTCATTTTTACAAGGACATTGCCTGCTGAGGAGAACAATTTTTTTTTGTTTTCCCTTGCTTTTTCTTTATTAAACTGCCTTCACCTCAACCCATGACTTCTTTTTTTTCCATCTCATTTTCTCATTCCCTGTTGTGCTGAGGAGGGGGAGTGACAGTGGCTGGGTGGGCACTGAGCATCCAGCCCTGAGCGACCCATCACACAGCAACAGGACAAGGGGCAATGGTTTTAATGAAAGAGGGTAGGTTTAGATTGGGCATAAGGAAGAAATATTTTATGATGAGGGTGGTGAGACACTGGAACAGGTTGCCCAGAGAAGCTGTAGATGCCCCATCCCTGGAAACTATTCAAGGCCAGGTTGGATGGGGCTCTGAGCAACCTGGTCTAGTGGAAGGTGTCCCTGCCCGTGGCAGGGGGTTGGACTAGAAGATCTTTGAAGGTCCCTTCCAACCCAAACCATTCTATGATCCTGAGATGGAGAAGACTGTGTTAATGTCGCTAGTTACAGCACTAACATGTTCCCTCACCTCAAAGCCAGTGGTACTCAAACACTCAATAGCAAGACACACAATTAGATCATGTTTGTACACAGCGACTGTTTCAGAAGCCTCAGAACCAGGGTCAAAGGGTCCTTTCCAAAGCATCTATAACATGAGCAAGTGTTAAAATAACAAAATCAAACCTCAGTAACTGTAACGGATTCTCGCTTGCGGTTTGCAATACTAAAATTTGCTGTTTAGTAAGTCAGTGTGGAGTACTGGTGCTTGTACTAATACCAATAATAATCTTGTAAGAGCCAAAACGTGAAGAAATCTATTACAGGCAGATGCAGAATTACGCAGAGCGTAGAAGCAACGATGAGGCATTCAAATGCAGGATGGAAACACAAACCCCCTCGTGAGATAGGAGCAGAAACAGAAAACTGGAGTTGGAAGTGGCATGCCAAAAAAGTGAGGAGCAGGCCAAAAAAGGAGGGATTGAAGTAGCTGAGATGAGAGATAGCCAGGCGCGAGTGGGACAAAGGAATATTTCATAGCCCCAGCGCAGTGAACGCCAGTTACTTGGAACAGTAACTATGAGACGCATCCAGAACAACACTCATGTTATTTTCTTTGCAGTAGTTAAAACCAACATTTTTGCTTTATTGTTATGTTTGAGAAAATACTGCCTGTTCTTAAGAATTGCCTTCCGCTCCCGGAGCCAGCGGGGAGTTAACTGTTGTGTTGCCATTCTAAGGGACAACCTCGAGTCAAACAATCTGCATGAACACCAAAAAGTTTCCAAATCACCTTGGCTAGCTGCTGTGTGTTTTGGACATCTCAGTCACAAAACGACAACATTTGGCAAGTATTTAATTCGCCACCAAAACATCTCCAAAGCTATTTCCACTTCCTAAACTGTGGAGCCAAAACATTTGGCGGGTTCCCACTAGATATCCATGCAGACCTGGTTCCACAAAAGCTGTGTTCCGGTGTTCTAACTACTGAACCTACTCGAGAGCTGTGACAAAACAAACTACAGCCTTTTTATGTGGCTTCTCATGACCTTAAGTTTAAGAAGAAACCAGGAGAAGTCCCTGTTCCAGTTTTTTGCTGACATATTTGGCACTAAGCTTTCCATGTCTGCCATGTCTTTGCTGCAAGATATCCTCTGTTGATGCCAGCATTGTAATTAATTTACAGCATGTTATGGTCAGTCTCTACTGAAAACTTAGGACACCAGTTAGTCTTAAAAGCATCCCCAGCCCTTCGGGCGGGCTTCACTGCCATCTAAATATAGCACTCTACATAGGCACGCAAAAATTTCCACCTAGCAAAGCACACGCATGACTAAACCAAACATTCTGTAATACATCGTGAGTGCATTAATGCTTACCCAAGTATACTTGCCAAGTCATCCTCTTTCGTAACAAGCTGACCAGGATGTGGTTTAATTGCATTAAGTCGCCAAACTATCAAAGACAATTTGACATGGCTGAAGGAGGCAACTCCGTCTTTCTGAGGGGTTTCACCGTCAACTTAGCAGAGGGCTATACCATACCAAGGGTTAGTGACAGGTTCCCTAAAAGTATCTTAAAGCTTTAAAATTCACCTAAAGTAGCAGACACAAAGTGTGTTCACATATGGCGAATCACCATTCAGTTGTGACAAATCTGAAGTGTCAGCACTCTTCAGTACTTCAGAGAGACAACACAGGAAAACACGAGGACAAGTCACAGCAAACATCTAAGAGGTTTCTGGTTTTAAACCATATCCATTAAAGAACGCCTTTTAAAAAAGCTACAAAGAATTTAAGCCTCCCAGTTTAAGAGAAGATGGGGGAAGAGCACACCCTGTTTGCCTCAAATGTAAATTATTTCAAGCAAAAGAAGCTACAGGGTAATCTCTGCCTTTTTCTGCAGCAGCCCAAAGCACACGGCATCGATGCTTCAGAAAGTGAAGTGGTGTCATTGTCAGCTGAGAGCGTAACATAAGGAGCGGTACGATGCAGAAACAACACTGCCAGTTTTCACAGCAATGATCTTCTTCCTTCCAGGGTTTTACAAAGGATATGATCTGACTAAACACTCTTCAGTACACATAAACAACGCTGACAGTTTTTCACCTCCCTCGTTTAAGCGCACTGAAGACAAGACTATAGCTACTTCTACGCCTGCAAAAACCACTTAGCTTTGAAGAAAAAAGATCTTACAGTTCTGAGTTAAAATATTTACCGTTTAGATTTTGTAGTCTAAAAACGTATGGAAATATTCTTATTGACAATTTCTCAGCATAATGTATTTAAGACTTCTAGCTATCCAGCTCTGAACTATCACTGTAATGTCAATCAACCAAGAAATACTAAGGAAATTAATTAAGAAAATGTCTAATTCCGTGGCTCTAAATGCAACAACACAGAACTTGATACCAAGAAACTTTTGAACTGGACATCATAAAGGGAGCCTTCCATCCCACGGGAACTGCAGGCCCCAAAGAATCACAGGCGCTTCAAGCACAACACGGTGAAGTTTATGATCGAGAGGTACCTCTGAAAGCTGAACTCAAAGCTCGATTTTATACTGGATTCCTTACTATTTTAAATACAAACAAATCAGTGAACAAAGAAAATTATGAGATGTTAAGAGTTTAAATGCAGAGATTTATACATATTCTTAAAAGATACACAATAACAATTCTTAAAAATGTATTATGAACTTTATTGCATGTATCATTCCATAATCATTCGGAGATATGAGAATAAATACAACAAAACCTTTAAGTTACCGAAGGTGGGAGATATATATCTGAACAGAATTGTCTGTCCAAGTGACATAAATCATCTTGGAGATTAGCAAACCATTTGATTTCAAATTCTGTGGCTGATGCAGTTACCAACGATGACAGCGCCGAAGGGCCTATGCATTTTACCTCACCCTGAAACTCCTCTTTTAGTTTTTCTGGTATAAGATCCTGCCCCATAACCTGCAAACAGAGTAAGAAAGATGGGAAACAAGAAAATAACTTGCAGAGAAAACAGCAAAAATGACATTAATAACAGATCTTTACAAGAAAAGCCCCTGACACATGAACCACATGCTGTCCAGGAGAAGTTTCCAAGTCACGATCAGGTTGTCTGCCTGCTGCATTCTGCAGTAAACGCGGAGAACTGAGAGCCCGAGCGTCGCAGCTGCACAACCCTGCCCAGCTCCCGGCTACGCCTGTGCAGGGGGGGGGTTTACTCCCTGAGAAGCAGCAGAAATCTCAACGCCAACTCCGTATTCAGTGCTCACCCTGCAGCAGCACCAACACCCTGATCTCTTCCTGGGGGTGTCGGACCAGGGGAAGCAAGAAGAGAAGTTTCTTTTCCTGACCTTTTCAAAACCTGCGCTAGTCTGCATGCTACTGCCCTCTTACGGATGAAATCCCCCAAGACTGCCTGTGGCTTTCACTAGCTTAAAGCTGTAATGCTGACAGCAAAGTTAGAATCTCGCTGGCTTCCTTTTGTTCCTTAGGATAAAAGTCAGAAACTCTATAAATAGCACAAAAAATGCTTAATCTTTATGAATAAAGTCATGCAACGTTACTCTCCTCCTTTGTATTTCTTTAAAACTAGAACCCAATACATCAAACAGAATGAAGAAATCATGTAAAAGCTCGTCTCGGGCGTTTTCTGAAAACATTTAATACTTTTTCTGGAAGCGTTTAATACTGCTGTGGCCATCAAAGTGATATCCACTTCCATTTCATACTTGTGATTCACTCTGCAGCAGCTAAAATTCCTGAGATAAAATCTGTACCCCAGGAAACGCGCAGCGATGATGCATCTGCAAATAGGAGTCCAGTGAGAAACTTAACAACCCTGAACATTCCGGAAAGGAGAATCTCAGCAGAACAGGGGCACCTGCATGACACAAGCCAGCGCTATATGGGTATCACTGTCAGTTCCAGATAACACACTACCAGGGCAACCCGCCCCAGCTAATTTACCTTGCTTCCTGACACAGTTAATTAGCTCAGGAGAGAGTCACACTTACAGGACTTTGTGCCTGAACTGGCTCGGGTACCTCAACCAGCCTACGTACAGCTGAGAACTTGCACACAACGGAACACCCCCTTACCTTCGTCATCAACAGCAAGGAGTTTGCATCGAAACCAAGTCGTGCCACTTTGTCATCAATTTCTTTTTGACCTTTTATGTTATTCTCTCGCACAAAGGACGACTGTTGCAACTGGATAAGCTGAAGTAAAAGCCTGAAATGAAAAAGGCAGTTAAAAAAAAGGCACAGCTGGCAAAAGAGTAAGTCAGCAAACCTAAAACCAAACAAAATATAATACTTTAAAACTAGCTCTTCTTCCCGACTTTTGCCAACTGCAAAAACTGCAAAGAAATTAATACATCTGTATCAGTCCACTATGGGTATGGTACATCCGTGCTATGGCAGAAGTACTGAGAAATACTTTGGAAAAACAACATGTCAAGTAGCTCGGGTTGCTCTGCGCAAACATTTTTCTCTCCACGCATTCGCCACACAATTCAAAAGTGAAGCTCAGCTCTGCTAGCATTAACTGCAGAGCATCAGGTGTCCCACGTCCTTATTAAGGCCTTACAAGACAGCAGCGCCTTTTTACTTACAGCAGTGATTATCTTTGTAACCTGAAAAGCTAGCAATTTGGGGGGTTTAGACAAATATCAAACATCCTCCCCACATAGGCCAACCCTGGAATATTATCTAAAATCTTTCACCACAGTTTTATGTTCAAGGCAGTGCCCCAGAAGCTACTGCCCATGACTGGGTGAAGGTTAGACGTTGTGCTCACAGCGTGGCTTCCCGTCACAGAGGGACCCCCTCACCAACTGCTCGACCAGAGGGAGCAGTGGCAGTTTCCAGAGTCCTCCTCACACAAGGACTGTAAAATGTGTCAGCAGAGGGAATATCTAAGTATACTGAACCAAGGGACCACTGGGACTTTGTATCGCTACTGAAACTATGTTTAATTCAAGCTTTATGCATGAAGAACAACAACAATTTTTTTATCACATTTACCAAAGTGAAATGAAGCATGTGTATAATAAAGGTGTATATTTTTATGAAGAGAAGACTTAAGATCTTAGATGAAAGTTTTCATTTCAGCTTTACAAACACCAAAATTTACAAGCCTGAGCCAACGAACCATTTGTAAGTTCAGTAAAGTTTTGACTGGGAAGTTCAAATAAAAATGGAAAGTATTTTTAATTTGTAAAGCGTTTTTGTTTCAAAATTTGCATCAACATAAGGTAAGAAAGAATGAAAATTAAACAAAACCATTTCTCCAATTATTTTTTTGTGTGGACAAAATTAGAAGAGTCAATTATTCATGATGCTTTAGCACAGAACCTTAGTTCCTACAAAAAGCAATACTAACATCCCTTCTCCAGGTGCAATTTACCCTGCACATATGTTTATGCAACATCCACATCTCCCTTAAAATCCAAGAGACCTCAGAATATCTACAACCTATTTAATGCATAAGCCCTGGGCAGGGGAGAAGCTTACCCTGGACAAGCGTATCTGCAAATATAAACCACAATAACGCTTTGTGAAACTGTGCAGCCAGGCAAGGAAATCCCACAATTTATAATTGTCTCAATGCTGAACCATACACAGCGAAACAAGCAACACAAATTAATATGAATGTAGCTTTAATATTCAGCATCAGCACTAAACCTTTTAACTTCTCCCAAGTAGCAATTACAGACACCGTCTCTTAGTCTGAGTAGAGTTAAAAGCTGCTATGTCTTTTTTTACATTTCTTAAATCTTGCCCTGACAGGGCAGTTATAAAGTGTTCTCTGTAAACATTTTTGGAAGTTCATGAAATGGCTTTAAATATATTCAGTGACTAATACATTACTGAGAGGGAAGAGGGGGAAAAAAATCCAAGACTATTTTACCAAAACCAGTTCCTAATTATCTCTTTGAAAGACTATGTTTGGGGGGGTTTTGTTGTGTGCCAGAGTTTTAGGAAGAGAGGGAAGAAAAGGAAAGAGCATTTTAATGCAGCCCTGTCAATCAGCTGTCACAGAGTTCATTTTTCAACCTCATCCATTATGCAGATTGGGGTATTATTATAAAAGACATTTTCGCTCAAGCGTGAGGCTTCAAGCAAATAAGACAGGTGGCACTCGCAGAAGGAAGACTGGCTGGCCTTCCCTTTGGGGCACTTCTGCTGCTGCATCTTTAATACCAAACCAGGAAACAGCCATGTGCTAACAGGCCGTTGTATAGAATTACTTGAAAAGGTTCATATAATAAGGTCATTAAAACCCACTTTACTTCTCAACAGTGCATGACGCTGGTTTACTCTTTCCACTCAGATTTAGGTTGTTCACAGCCACCATGCTAGTGGATTTTGCTTTTTAGATCTGAAGCAATAGCAGGATGCTTCTAAGTTAGCGTTGCCAACACTGAAACAAACATTTAAAATGAAAATGTAAACTGAAAATAGGAAGGCTGGGAAAAACATGCTTTAAATTGTTCTCAATTAGGAGAAGTTAACATTATTCTAAGAATACTTTTAGTTACCTTGCTCTAATAAACGAGGCACATGCTTTTATTCCAGTTTTCTCCCAGGACTCGGAGGCTGTGTGATTCCCCTCATCTGTCCTTTCCAGTTCTTCCGACGTGCAGAGGAATTCTTTTACAGCTTGGCTGCTCCTACAAGTCACTGCATTCTCCCTCTTTGTTTCTGTAGCAAGGCTGGACCAAGGGCCTTCTTTCTGGTTGTCTGATCTGTGAGGCTGCAAATTAATCTCTCCTCCAGTGGATATTTTGAAACTACTATCGCTTACACTAACTTCTTCAGACTGATTTAGATTTGTTTCTGGAATGACTGATGGAGACAAACTCTGTAAAAGGCTCACATAAGCTTCAGCGAGTAACTTCCAGTACCAAGGGTTGAAAGGATGCAAGCAGATCAGCTGCTGCAGACACGTGATCTTTTTTTCTACGTTTTCCAGACCCTGGTAAATGGCAAACTGGAGGTTGAGAACCGTCGTTAAGTGATCTGTGTTAGTAGCGCTGTTTCTCTAGAAACAAAAGATAACAGATTAAAAACAGGAGTAGAACAGAATCATCCTTCAGAGCCTAAGAAAACGTCTCCCTGAATAATAATACACAAATATCACTAAAGGTGATTTTTAAATTGTACAAAACTGTGCTCCTAATTTTAAATGATAGGTGACACAGACCATGCACAACCAATGTGACAACGATCCCGCCCCCTGCCTTGGCCCAGTCTGAAAGGCAAGAAGGCCCCGAATGTTGTCATTTGTTTATTTGCCCTCAGAGTTTTATACAGCTGACCTTCTTTGTAGTATAAATACCTTAATAAGACAGGTGGCACTCGCAGAAGGAAGACTGGCTGGCCTTCCCTTTGGGGCACTTCTGCTGCTGCATCTTTAATACCAAACCAGGAAACAGCCATGTGCTAACAGGCCGTTGTATAGAATTACTTGAAAAGGTTCATATAATAAGGTCATTAAAACCCACTTTACTTCTCAACAGTGCATGACGCTGGTTTACTCTTTCCACTCAGATTTAGGTTGTTCACAGCTACCATGCTAGTGGATTTTGCTTTTTAGATCTGAAGCAATAGCAGGATGCTTCTAAGTTAGCGTTGCCAACACTGAAACAAACATTTAAAATGAAAATGTAAACTGAAAATAGGAAGGCTGGGAAAAACATGCTTTAAATTGTTCTCAATTAGGAGAAGTTAACATTATTCTAAGAATACTTTTAGTTACCTTGCTCTAATAAACGAGGCACATGCTTTTATTCCAGTTTTCTCCCAGGACTCGGAGGCTGTGTGATTCCCCTCATCTGTCCTTTCCAGTTCTTCCGACGTGCAGAGGAATTCTTTTACAGCTTGGCTGCTCCTACAAGTCACTGCATTCTCCCTCTTTGTTTCTGTAGCAAGGCTGGACCAAGGGCCTTCTTTCTGGTTGTCTGATCTGTGAGGCTGCAAATTAATCTCTCCTCCAGTGGATATTTTGAAACTACTATCGCTTACACTAACTTCTTCAGACTGATTTAGATTTGTTTCTGGAATGACTGATGGAGACAAACTCTGTAAAAGGCTCACATAAGCTTCAGCGAGTAACTTCCAGTACCAAGGGTTGAAAGGATGCAAGCAGATCAGCTGCTGCAGACACGTGATCTTTTTTTCTACGTTTTCCAGACCCTGGTAAATGGCAAACTGGAGGTTGAGAACCGTCGTTAAGTGATCTGTGTTAGTAGCGCTGTTTCTCTAGAAACAAAAGATAACAGATTAAAAACAGGAGTAGAACAGAATCATCCTTCAGAGCCTAAGAAAACGTCTCCCTGAATAATAATACACAAATATCACTAAAGGTGATTTTTAAATTGTACAAAACTGTGCTCCTAATTTTAAATGATAGGTGACACAGATCATGCACAATCAAGGTGACAGCATTCCCTCTCGCTGCCTTGGCCCAGTCTGAAAGGCAAGAAGGCCCCGAATGTTGTCATTTGTTTATTTGCCCTCAGAGTTTTATACAGCTGACCTTCTTTGTAGTATAAATACCTTCTATAGAAAATAAACAGCAGCAGTAAAATTCTAGGAGGATTCAGAGCCTCTGGACTTTTTCCTTTGGGGGAAAAACTCTTATTTGTGGTTAGATACTGGTCTTGTTGGCAGCTCGGCAGCAAGTGTGTAGAAATAAAAGGGAGTTTTGAACCATCACTTTTATAGTGGAGAGATTTAAGCACTCATTTATCCCCCTCCTTATAATTCCTATTACATTACATTAATTCTGCCTGGCAGAGCATGATATTTAGTCCCTTCCAGGACTACCAGCCTCCCTGCACAGGGAGCTCATTGTGGTACAGGGTGTTCTGATTTCTAAAGAGTGATTATATCTGCAGTGACAGTTACCCTCTGTTTACCAAATACTCTGAGCACTGAACATCCTGAAGGATTATATACTTGAAGATTATTTTTCCAGAAAACGGTCCATATAAAAGAACTACTAGCAATATTTTAATGTTTAAAGTAGAAAAGAAAGATTGCATTATTTACCATTTTTTCTGCAATATCCAGAGCCTCCTTGTGCCTTCCTAGGCGAGATAAACACCGAGCCTGGCCCTCTTGCACATCTCGCCTCATTGCAATGTTACTGGGAGGTAAGAGTAGTAAGCAGTTTGAGTATTCACACAGGGCTTTCTAGGAGTGTCGACGAAAAGAAAAGCCAAACAACACAGTGAGAGATTTTCACTTAAAGGTAAGCCTGACAGTATGGTTTGGTTATGACTACAGCCACAAAGGGAATTCAGGAGCTGAAGTCCACATTTTCATTTCACTGGACTCAGCTACCACCTATGCTAGCAACACACAAGGTCCCAGTACTACACAGCCAAGTCTAGAGGGTGATGAGCAACCTCAAAACTTGTGTTTAAGCCTTGGCAGGATTCACCATGCATCTGTCCACCTCCACCCCATCAGGCCTGATCCAGAAGGGATCATCTACCAACCTGGGCAGTATGTGAGACAAGGCGTCTTCCCCCCAGGTACCAACTCAGTGATCAGAGCACTCATCCTAAGTCTGGGGGTCCTTGTTTCAAACCCGTAACATTCTCCATGGGAAGGTTTGAACCTGCAAGTACCTCACCTCACATAAATAATCAGCAAGTCAGACAATACCACAGGGAAGGTGAATCTCCATTGTTCCTGTAGGGTGGTTCTAATTTGCATGAAATTATTAAATATTAATTGGGCTAAAAAAAAAAGACAAGAATGAGCAATACTTCTGTAGCTTAATGCTCAGGGCACTCACCAGGACTCCAATTACGATTTAAATACATTAAATTAAGTATTCAGTGAAGCTAAGACTGGAATCTTGGTTCTTCCCCCTCCATGCGAGCACTCAGACCAGAAGACTAAAGAGCAGTGCTCATTCTCCCATCTCTCAAAATGAGTATTTAATTATTCCTTGCAAACTTGAATGATTCTAACAGAAAGGGCATCCAGGCAACATACCCTAAATACTTCCTAGCAAAATGGCTGAAAATACTTTTCTTCCCTGGTGTTAACTTTGCGTTCCCTCTCAAACGAAAGAGGGAGCTCCCCCCTGCCTAGTGAGTGCAGCAGCCACTGGTGGAAAATGTAATTTTCTGTGCAATCTAGTTCTGGTTCCGGTAATTTTATGTGCAGTCTGGTTCTGGTTCTGACACAGTGATCCAGATTACCAAGAAGACTGAAGGCAAGACATTTTTAACATGGATCACTGCGACAGGGAAGGGTTAGGAAGCAACGGTCTGTTCCGCTAGCAGATCTGAGGGAGAGTCATTCTCTCCTGAGAAGGCACCACAGCGCACAGCAAGGTGCAGTCTGCTCTTCCTGAGGGTCAGCAGCCATGTCTGACCGCAGCCTGAGGCATCTCTCTTCTCAGCACACTTTTATGAATCCCTTCAGGGCATCTTAGCTGAGACTGGAAAGCAGCTGTCGAGTATAGACAAGGCAACAGTAGCGCTGGAATAACATTAAAAAGCAGAAGTCAGTGCCAGCTGAGGTACAAAAAGATCCACAAATCCAATAAGCAAGGCAAAAGGAGTGGAGTCAGAAGTCAGCCTGAGGGCTCTGAAATCAGGGAGCCTGTAATGCAAACCATAGCCTGGAACAAGATGCTATTACAGCTGAAACAAGGGCAGAAGCAGCTGATTTCCACCAGGAAACAGAAGACTGGATCCTGCAACTAGGATTATAGAGGCAGGAGAGCATCGATAATCAGGAATGTGGCTCAGGAAGTAGGCAGTGAGGACAGAGTCTAGGACTACAGCAGGCAGGAACAGAAACGGGGGACATAAATGCACCTCAAAGGCACAAGCAGCCATCGGGAGCGAGGGGAGGCAGCCGAGAGGTGGCAGAATGAAATGATCATAGAATCATAGAATCATAGAATGTTTTGGGTTGGAAGGGACCCCTAGAGGTCATCTAGTCCAACCCCCCTGCAGGAGCAGGGACACCGCTAACCAGATCAGGTTGCTCAGAGCCCCGTCCAACCTGGCCTTGAATGTTTCCAGGGATGGGGCCTCCACCACCTCTCTGGGCAACCTGTGCCAGTGTTTCACCACCCTCATTGTAAAGAACTTCTTCCTTATATCCAGTCTAAACCTACCCTGGTTTAGTTTAAAACCATTACCCCTTGTCTTGTCACTGCTGGCTCGTAAGCCAAATGTCAGGAGCCTGACAACTACAGGCAGCTTTCACCTGACAGCGGGGGGAGCTCCGAGAAAGGCGAGCAGCAGCCAGGTGGTTGCCAGCGATTTGCCAGCCCTTGTGTTAACCCCGGGAGCAGAGAAATCCACACGCTTAACTCCGGCTGGCCACGACTTCCCCAGCCGCGACACCGGCTCTGCTCACTCCTGAACCCCTCCCACCTGCAAAGCCTGATCCGGATGGGCTCCGGGTGCGAGAGCAGCGTTTGCGACCCGTCTACGCTGACTTCGCTGGCTCCTGGGAAGGTGACACCCGGCTGGGGGAGCCTGCCCAGGGCACAGCTGCCCACCGCGGCCCGACG